CGTCGGGCCAAGTGCCGAAAACAGGAGAACCAACTGCACAAAGGTACCGGGGGCGGGGGCTCGGCCGCAGCCGGGGGGCTCCGGGCGCTGCCCCCGCCGCTCATCCCCCCCCGTTCCCCCACCCAGGGGTGCTGATCGGAGCCGCCACCCAGTTCGAAGCCTGCAGGGTGGCTCCCTACGTGAACGTGGGAGCGCTGAGGATGCCGTTCCAGCAGGCGAGTGCTCGGGGGGACGCGCGGCCGGGCTCGCCGAGCCTTTGGGGGGTCACACGGCTTTGTCCCCCGCAGGTGCAGGCTCAGCTGCAGCTGGACAGCGCCGTGGCTCACGCTCACCATCACCTGCACCCGCACCTGGCCCACGCCCCCTACATGATGTTCCCCGCTCCCCCCTTCGGGCTCCCGCTGGCCACCCTGGCCGAATCCGCCTCCGCAGCCTCCGTGGTGGCCGCAGCCGCCGCAGCCAAGACCACCAGCAAGAATTCCAGCATCGCCGACCTCCGCCTGAAGGCCAAGAAACACGCCGCAGCCCTGGGGCTGTGACCGCGCTGCTGCTTGCGTTTTATTCTGCTTGGGTTTTTTTTTTTATTATTATTATTTTTTATTTTTTTTTTTTGGAAAAAAAAGGGGGAAAAAAAAGTGAAAAAAAGAGTTGAAAAGGAGAAAAAATAAAAAGAAAAAAAAAAAGAAAGAAACGAGGGAGAGGAGAAACGGACGGGAGATATATACTTATTTAAGGAATTAGAGGACGCGCAGCTGGGAAGTTCACAGGTTTTGAAACTGACCTTTTTCTGCGAAGTTCACTTTAATACAAGAAATTTGATAAGAGAGGCGGGCCTCCTTTCACGTTGCATCAGGTACTTGAGTTTAACAACCACGTCTGGAATAGCGACAAAAAAAAAAAAGGGAAAAAGAAAAAAAAAAAAGAGAGAGAGAGAAAGAAGACGACGAACAGGAAAAAAAAAAAAAAGAAAAAAAAGAAAAAAAGAGACAATGATTTCTCTGCGAATTTCTAATGGGAAACTGTCCGGGATACTTCCTCCAGCAGCATTCCGGCTTGCATGTATTTGTATTTCATTGATGGAGTCCTTTGATTCACTTGCACTTCACCCTCATCTTTAGTAGAAAAAAAACCAAGACAACCACAAAAGCAAACAAACAAACGTGGCTGGGTTCTTTCTCCTTTAATCTTGGAGGGAAGCAGGCACAGAGAGACACATCAAGCGCTACCTTTTCCACTCTTTAAATCTTTGTCGGTCGTTTGCTGTCCCACCTCTGAAATTAAAAGGGAGCGGAAAGCGCCAGGAGAGCGGAGTTCGCCTCCCTTTGCCGGGTCTCTCCTGTCCTGAGGGCAAAAATAAAACGGGGGGGGGAAAAAAAAAAAGGAAAAGAAAAAGAAAAAAAAAAAAAAGAGATTATTTAATTCCCAACCACCACTTAACACCACGGCAAATTCCGATAAGAGGTACTGGGTACATGTAAAATATTGTTGATACACACGAACAAAGTTTATTTTGGCTATAACTTGTGAATTGATAGTTGACTGTCAAGCATTTACATTTTATCTCATAAAGGTGTATCTATTCACGTAATCTTGTGATTTTTTTTTGGTTATTATTATTATTATTATTATGATTATTTGAGAGACCTATAGCTATTTAACCTGGGGTACCCTGCAGTCAGTGATTGTTATCCCAGATTTTGCCATCTGACCCTCATGCTTATTGCCAAGACAGAGGGAAAGCTCTTCTACGCGAACTTTGGTATGGACGGGCTTTGTATCTATTTGTTCTCCATGAAAACAAAATTATTTATATTGACCATATTTTTTCTAGTGTATTTTAAGTTATTTAAAAAAAAAAAAAAAAAAAAAAAAGAAAAAAAAATGAAAAAAAGAAAGCAAGATGCTGTTATCTCATTGCATTTGTTGTCAGTACAATATATTTTGTTTCACTCAGGTTTGCTTCACCTTTTTTAATCCATTTTCGACGTCACGAATTTCAATAAGTGCCAAGTAATGAATTTAAGACGCTTTGCGATGTGTCGACCGAAGTGGGGACGCTTTTGGGGCCGGGATTCTCGGTGTCCAGGCACCGCTGATGTTCTTTTTTCCCCATGTTCTCACCTCCTGGAGAGCTCGCACGTTTCTCTCTGCTCCGTAGATATCGCGACATGCCGATAGCGCTCAGCACCACGAGGAAGCGCCGCTCGCCTCCGCTCAGATTTCTTTAAAATTCCCCCCAGATTTCTCTGGTTTTGCCGAGTTTGGGCTGGCTGTTGGCTCCAGGAGCTCCATAGCAAATCGTGTCTTTGCGAGTTCTGTCAGGTTCCCTCAGGTAATAAAAGGCAGGAAAGCGGAACGGCTCGGAATCTTTTCCAGGAGGGATCCGAGGGCAGAGCCCGCAGCGGGACCGGGATTCTCCTGCTGGAGCCCCGGGGAGCTCCGGGAAATCCCAGCGGGAGGAGCAGAGAGGGAGCGGGCGGGAGGGGAGAGCAGCCCCCGAGACCCGGCCGGGAAAAAGGGTCGGGGGGATTGGGAAGGGTCGGGGGGATTGGGAAGGGTCGGGGG